GAAGGAAGGAAGGAAGGAAGGAAGGAAGGAAGGAAGGAAGGAAGGAAAGGGAAAAAAAAGGTTCCTAGTTAGCAAGCCACGATGTAGATATTTTGTATGGAAAACACCTGTTAACACCAAACAAAACCAATATATGTTTTAATACTATTTTGTTTTTTAAAAGGTATAGCAGAAGAATTTGTGTACAAGTATAGTTACTGCTTTTAAAATTTGGTTTTAAAATTTGGCTGAGCATGGTGAGTGCCTTTCTTTTGTACTTTGTTTTTTTTTTTCCTCTAGACAGGGTCTCACTTGCTTTGATTGTCCTGGGACTTGCTATGTAAACCAGGCTGGCCCAGAACTCACAAGGATCTATCTGCCCTGGCCTCCCAGTTGGAAGCATATGCCTGTAATTACAGTACTCAGGAGGCTGGAGCCTGAAGAATCATGAGTTTAAGGTCAATCTAGGTGATACAGGGTTTGTTTTTCTCAATAGCAAAGAAATAGCTGAAGGTTCCGTTGAAATGGTAGAGTACTTGGAGTGCTGTGTCTGAGTCCCAGTATCGCAAGCATACTCGGCATTTATTGACACAATTCCTGCACTTCATGGAGCACGAAGAAACTGCATACCCCTGTAAGCCCAGCATTTAGGAAGCCGAGGCAGAATTGCCCTGAGGTTGAGGCTAGTGTGGGCGATGCAGCAGCATCCTATCTGGAACAAAAATAACCCACAAAGAACTTCCATGGCGTCACACAGTGGAAAACTATGCAGTTGTAAACCCATGTTTGTGCTGTAATTAGGTTGAAAAGCAATCAAGTCTGGAGGAAGATGTGACGGCCGGGTGGGCAGACAGACACACAGAAAGTGACTGAGAGCAAACACAGCATGAGGTCAACAGGGCTCGTCTTTGCCAGACTAGGGCTGACTTAAATCACTGTCTTTGCGTTTCCTATATTCTGTTTTTCCCCCTTTCGATTTTTGAGAGTCTCACTGTGCAGTCCTGGCTACCTGGAACTCGCTAAATAGTCCATTGTAGCCTTCAACTGGTGCCGACCTCTGTCTCCCTATTTTGGAGGTACAGATGTCCCCACCATAGTGGCCACGCATTTCTTGTGTTTCTTATAAGGGTTGCTTATCTTAAGAGACAGGAGAGAAATTTAATTTTAAAGACATCATTACTATTCAAGTACCTGTTTTTAAATCAGAGTTGAGGGCCAGATCATCTAAAAATAAGTGGGAATATTTGCATAGATTATTCTATCATTGATTATGGCCTAATGAATTTCTTAATAGTTTAGATTACTTACCCTTTAACTAGCTGACTTTAAATTTAAAAGTGAAATGGGCAAATATTTACTGAGTGTTTAATACACTCACTTGTTTTATAAAATGGAGTGCAATTTGAAATTTTTATGTGCCAAATTTGTTTTTTGGTTGGTTTTTGAGCTGGTCTCATGCAGTCCAGGCTGGCCTTGAATTCACTTTATGATGGGTACTGACTTCAAACCTGGATCCTTCTGTACTGACCTCCTACATGCTGGGATCACAGATGTAACTCTGTGATTCTGAATGTTTTAAATAGGCAATGCCAGTTTTTAAATTCATCAAAACATTCTTATGAGTTTTAAAACTGCTGTTGCGATTTCCAAAACCACACTCCTCCTGCTCAGTGGATTAATAAGCTACCCGAAGACATAGCATCAGTGAATAGAGCTCTTCATTCTATTTTTTTATGTTTATAACAGTTTCTGCTAAATACAATTTTAGTTAAAATTTATGAAATTTTCCAAAATTTTCACTGTTTTTTGTTGTTGTTATTTTTTGTTTTCTGTCTTTTTGAGACAGGGTTTCTCTGTGTAGCCTTGGCTGTCCTGTACTTGCTTTGTAGACCAGGCTGGCCTCGAACTCACAGAGATCCTCCTGCCTCTACCTCCGTGACTACTGGGATCACAGGTGTGCGCCACCACACCCAACTCGGGCTTTTCACTGTTTAAAGCGATATTGGTTATATTTCCAAGTAAAAATATCTGTTAAAAACTTCTATATATTTATGTGAAAGACTTATCCAGTTAAAAAATCATCATCTCTCTGTGTGTATGTGTATATGCATGTGTCACAGCACACATGAGGAGGTTGGGAAAATTGGTCAGAGTCATTTCTCTCCTTTCACCTGTACGGGGGTTCTGGAAATTGAACTCAGATCGTCAGCCTTGCTCTGCAAGGAACTTGGAGCTCCCTCTCCAGGCTTGTGTTATCTGTACAGCTGTGTCTTCTCTCTCATTAGGCAGAAGATGCAGATGAAGCTATGAGCAAATACCTGTCAGAAAAACTGAGACTTAAGGACACATGGCTTGGAGTCTGGAAGACTAACCCTGAGCTATTCTTTGAGAAATATGAAGAGGCTTCCATTCCTTTTGTTGGTATACTAGTTGAGGTAAATTTTACTTGCTTTGTTCTATGAATGAAATTAGCAGCCCCTTTTATAATGGAAATGTGATTTTATTAATCTGGAACTTCAATCCTCATACAAAGGCCAAACCAGATGAGCCTGTGGAAAAAGATAAAGATGAACACTGGCGTACATTTACTTGGGGACAATTAACAGTGAAATGGGAACTGGTAGCATTGAACAATAATTATGAGCTCAGTTTCCGTTGCCCAAATACTGTAAAAATAACAAACTGTATTTCTTGCCAGGGAGGCAGAGGCAGGCAGTTAGAGGCCAGCCTGGTCTACAGAGAGAGAGTTGTGGGAGAGCCAGGTGACAGAGAGCCTACCTCAAAACAACAACAACAAAAATATATTGCTTGAAAAATTAGTAAGTTGGGCTTTCACAAATGCTCTCTAATGTCCCTTTTATTTATCTGAATTTTTATATGCATTGGTTCAGATGAGGAAAGAGATTAGATCAGAGAACTGTTGTCAAAATTTGATTTTTCCAGTGTGACCAACTTGCAAGACACCACCTTAGGCTTCAGATTCATTCAGTCCACAGGCCGTATAGTGTGGCATATTTGGTGTCATAAGCTTAGGTCACTTAACGATAATTATCCTCATATAGAAATTAATATCAGTGGCTGGCTCTTTGACCTCCCTCCCACATCAAGGGAGGAGCAGCCTTGCCAGGCCACAGAGGAGGACATTGCAGCCAGTCCTGATGAGACCTGATAAGCTAGGGTCAGATGGAAGGGGAGGAGGACCTCCCCTATCAGTGGACTTGGAGAGGGGGATGGGAGGAGATGAGGGAGGGATTGGGAGGGAATGAGGGAGCAGGCTACAGCTGGAATACAAAGTAAATAAAATGTAATTAATGTAAAAAATAAAATTTTAATTAAAAAATGAAACTTTAGAGAAATCTAAAAAAAAGAAATTGATATCAATATTATGCTCATGATTGGCACTTGTGTCCTCCAAGAGATTTTTTTTTCAGTTTTTTAAATTTTGTATGTGTGTGCACATTCTTGCATGCATGTGTGTGGAGGTCCAAAGACAACTTTCAGGGGTCAGATCTCTTCTCCTTCTCTGTCTGGTCTTGAACTCAAAGACTTAAACTTGTTGGCAAGCCCCTCAGTCCACTGAGCCATCTTGCTGACCTAGACAGATGTTTCAAATATGTTGTTTTGGTCACAAGAGAAACCTTGAAACTTATCACATCACACACTACTTGAAAGCAATTAAATATATATATATAGTGTGTGGAAAAGTGAGTAACTGACAATTTTTCAGAAAAGGAATGGTGCCTTTCCAGTAATAGATATTAGAAAAACAGAGTTTAGGGGTTTACTAATTTTTCAACAACGTGCTAGTTTTTTGAGAGACTTTTTATCTTCAGGTCTTGGGGGGGGGGGTTGTCTGGATCTTTTATAGTGTTTCTGGACTTTTTCTTATGGGTAAAGTAGGAGTAGGTGGATTCCATCAATGGCAATAAATGTGGGTATGTTTTTAACAGTATATTGGAGGGGGGTTCTAATCAAGTGTTCTGTGGCAAGTTAGCAGTATAACACACTACCTCAGCATATGAACAAACGCACTACTGAAAGAAGGGCCAGGGCCCCAGCAATTGCTCCACGCCCTTTTCCGAGCTTATGACAGCCCCATACTCCCAACAGACTTCCCAGCACTGCTGAGGCTCTGTGGAAATTTGCATTATATGGCCAGGTTCTTCCTGGTTTTTGACATTTTATTTCTCTCTCCCCCTCTCTGTCTCTCTTGTCTCTGTCTCTCTCTGTGTATGTGTGTGTGTGTATTTGCATACATGCCACAAGTCAGATGACAGCTTGTGGGATTCAGTTTTCTCCTTCCTCTATAGGGGTCTCAGGTCAAAATCATGTCATGAGGCTTGGTAGAAGACAGGCTCACCTGCTGAGCCATCTCACCAGCCCTACATTTTCAAAAGTTCTACCCAGGTCTAAGGCTTTACATGGAATAAGTTCATTATTCAATTTGTCTTGTTGCTTTTCTCTCTTTAGACAGGGTCTCACTATGTAGCCCTGGTTGGCCTGGAACTGCAAATATAGACCAGGCTGAATTGAACCTTAGAGATCCACCTGCCTCCTCTGCCTTCTGAGTGTGGGATTAAAGGTGTGCACCACCATGTCTTTTTCTGTCTCAGTCTAAAAATAGCAACATTGAAAATTATACTATTTTAGAGTATTTTATTTTATTTGAGAAGGGGTTCTTGCTCTGTTGCTCTGGCTAGCCTTGAACTCAATATTCTATATATATATATATATATATATAATATATATTATAATATAATATAAAATATTATATATATATTCACACACATATATATATGTATATATCTCATGCTGTGCCCCTGAGTGCATGCAAACAGGGCATGCACCAACATACCCAGCTGCTTTAGACAGCTCTAGGAGATGCTAACCTATAATTAATTAATTAATTGGGTTTTGTTTTTGAGGCAGGGTTTCTCTGTGTTTTGAGGCCGGGAGTCTCTGTCCTGGACTCGCTCTATAGACCAGACTGGCCTTGAACTCAGAGATCTGCCTGCCTCTGCCTCTGCTTCCCAGGGGCTGGATTAAAAGCATGAGCCACCACTGGCCAGCTGATAATCTCTTTTTTAAAGACAAGGTCCCATTGTATAGCCCAGAATGTCCAGGAACTCATTATGTAGCCAAGACAAGCCTAAAACTTTTAGGAATCCTCCTGCCTCAGCCTCTCAAGTTCTGGGAGTATGGTATGAACTATCATGCCTAGCTAATATCCTTTAAATGTTAATGTCCTCTAAACATCAGACTGATGGATGAAATGGGAGAGCTCTTTTTCTTTAAAATAGCATATTGACTTTGTCTAATCCTTGAAATTACATGGCCATGGAGCAAACGAGACTCCCTCTTGTGATCTCTTCTGGAGCTCAGACCTGGTTGTCTCTCTCTGCTGCTTGAGTCTCGCTGAAGCCAAGTCTCAACAGTGCTGCATGGTGCATTTTGTTCTAAAGCCACAAGAAGTTATTTTTCTGGATCCCAATCTGCCACTCCTCCTACAGTCCTGTAGTGTGTGTGTGTGTGTGAGAGAGAGACAGAGACAGAGAGACAAAGAGAGAAACAGAGAGAGAGCGAGAGCACACACATGCACACTAAGGATTGACCCCAGAGCCTCATGAATTTTAGGCAAGCTTTCTACTGCTGAGTTACACCCCAATTCTCTTGTCATTGTTTGTGTTTCTCCCAGCAAACGACCACAAGGTCTGTGTATTGAGTGTGCTGGGTTACAGACCTTGTAACTCAGCAGATCAGAAGTGTGCCACACACCTGACGGTGCTGAGAGTGAGGCACAGGCAGAGCTGCACACTTTCCTGGAATCTGCTTCTGGGCCTTTTCAACACTTAGAAGCGTCCTGCTTCCCCTAGCTTGTGGCACTTCCCGTCATCCTCAGGTTGAACAAGACATTACATCAGCGTGGCATTCTCCAGGCTGGAAGGGTTGCTCCCCTCAGAAGGGACTCCTGGGACAGGCATGGACCCAGCCTGCTCTTCAGAATAACCTTTCATCTCTGTCTTCCAGTGTACTCTCTCTGCAAGGCCCATTTTGCTATGATGGCAGCATTGTCACAAGTTCCAAAGATTAGGGCCTGAGCATCTGTAGGGGCCATAATTTTACCCACCACAGTCAGACACTGAGCAAAAGAACTTGGAAACACAGTCCTTATGTTTCTTCCAGAGGATTCAAGTTTGATTCCCAGCACCATGTCAGGCAGCTCGTAATCACCTCTAACTCCAGATTTAGGACTCCAACACCCGCATGGGCACCTGTGCTCACACCCATACACCTAATTTAAAGTATAAAAAGGTTTGTGTTTCAAGGTGGTGAAGGTTTGAACGAGAATGTCTCCAATGGGCTCGTGTGTGTGAGGACTCAGTCCCCAGTTGGGGGTGCTGTTTGAGGAGGTTATGGAACCTCCAGAAGGTGGAGTCTGGCTAGAGGAAGTATGTTACTAGGGACAAGCTTTGAGGGTTCACATGCTCATCCCAGTTCCAGATCCCGAAGCAGAGGTAGGGGAATCTATGTGAGTTCAAGGCCAGCCAGATCCTGTCTCAAAAAACAAAAACAAACAAAAATGCAGAAGGACACATTCTTGGTTAGGATTTCCATTGCTGTGATGAAACACCTTGACCAAAAGCTACTTGGGGAGGAAAATGTTTGGTTTATACTTCTATATTGTAGTCCGTCATTGAAGGAAGTTAGGAACTCAAATAGAGCAGGAACCTGGAGGCAGACTCAGAGGCCATGGAAGAATGCTGCCTACTAGCTTGCTTTCCCTGTCTTGCTCAGCCTGCTTTCCCATAGAACCCAGGACCACCAGACCAGGGGTGGACCCACCCACAGTGGACTTGACCAATGATCAGTAACTGAGAAAATGCCTCACAGGCTTGTGTATAGCCCGATCTTACGGAGGCATTTTCTCAATTGAGCCTCCCTCCTTTCAGATGACTCTAGCTCATGTCAAATTGACATAAAACTATCCAAGCACACATAGTCTCTTTGTAAAACTTTAAAACTAATGCCTTTAAGGAGACCCGTGAAGTACTTGGAAGGCAGAGGCAGGTGGATCCCTGGGTTCTAGGCCAGCCTGGTCTACAGAGCAAGTTCTAGGACAGTCAGGGCTACACAGAGAAAACCTATCTTGAAACCAAAAGTAAATATATATATATGTATATACATATTTGGTTTTTTTGTAAAAAGGAGGTGTAGCCAGGCTTGGTGGCTCACACCTGTAATCCCAGCAGTTGGGGAGGCAGAAGCAGGCAGAGCTCTGAGTTTGAGGAGAGCCTGGTGTACAAAGCAAGTCTAGGACAGCTAAGGCTACAAAGAGAACCCCTGCCTGGGAAAAAAAAAAAAAAACAATAATAATAAAAAAGGAGGTGCTTGAAAGCCTGCTGGTATTTAATGTTTATTCAGAATTATTCAGTATGTTGGTTTCAAGAGAAGCCATAAAAATTGAGAAGGATCAACACTGTGACTAGCTCATACATGAGAAGTCCTGGTGGCTTCTCTATCTTTGCAGTTACCTCCTGTGTGACATTTATCCTAGGTGACATGTAAACCACGCCAGAACTTGTCTTGTTTCAAAGTGACCGTTTCCGTGGCTGAGCCCTTTTCTTCTAACATTGCAAACATCCCGAGGGACTTGGTGGATGAGGTTCTTGGGGAGATGGAGTACAATGCACCTCTCCTGGAAGTGTACCCCATTGAAGGACAAGGCGCAGATGTCCATGAGATTGCTCTAGCCTTGGAGGTTGTCAGGTAACAGGCTTTCTTTCTTCTGAAACTTAACATTATTTTATCCAGCAGCTCATTCATGCATTTCATGTGTAAGTTTTACTCATATGAACACATTATATTTATTGATTTACTTGAGATGCATTATTAAATTTACCCATTCTTTTTAAGATTTATTTTGTTTGTTTGCATACAGTGTTCTGCCTGCATGTGCACCTGCTCACCAGAAGAGGGCACCAGGTCTCACTATAGATGGTTGTGAGGCACCATGTAGTTACTGGGAATTGAACTCAGGACCTCTGGAAGAGCAGGCTGTGCTCTGAGCCATCTCTTCAGGCCCAATTTTCCCATTCTTTATTAACATAATACATTTGAAACTCAGTTAGTTACAAATTGTATAAGTATTAGACATGGGTAATAAAAAGTTTGTCCTATTTTTATCTTGTACTCTATGAAAATTGACTTTAGAAGAGTTATAAGCCAGATGTGATGGTGAATCCCTTTGATCCTAATAGTCAGGAGGCAGAGGCAGGTGGGTTTTTATGAGTTTGAGACCAATTTGGTCTCTGTAACGAGTTCCAGGCCATCCAGGGCTGCATAATGAGACCTCGTCTCAAATAAATAAGTAAATTAAAAATGAGAGAGTTCTCGAAGGTAGGTGCAGTGACAGACCCTGGGATGCCAGCACTGGGGAGGTAGAGGCAGGAAGATGCACACTTTAAGGTCATCAGCTGCATAGAGGGCTCAAGGCCAGCTTGGTCTAAATGACACCTTGTTTCAAAGAGAAAACAAATTCTAGAAATGACAAACCACTCCTATCTGTGTTTAAGCATCTGTCTTATTCTACTTTCTATTGTTGTGATGAAACACTCTGAGCAAATTTAGAAAAGGAAAAGGTTTATTTGACTGACACACCCAGGTCACAATCTATCAACCTGCAGGCAGACACCATGGAGGAACACGGCTTGCTGGCTCCTTATACAGCCCAGGACCACCAGCCAATAGGATACTTCTGCCTGCAGTGGGCTGGACCCTCACATCAATTAACAACCGGGAGGATTTCCCACAAACGTGCCCACAGCCTTGTCTGAGCTGGGCAATCCCTCAACTGATATTCTGTCCTCAATAGACTCTAGGCTGTGTCAAGTTGATAGTTAAGTAACCAAGACAGCATCTGAAATAGATTTGATTTCTTTTTTTAACACATGAGGACACTGCGAACACTGGATGTCATTGTCCGTGATATGATTGGTTATTATAAGCTTACATCATTTGGGCAGAGCTATCTGTGAACAAAAGGGAATTTATGACAGTTTCATGTTTTTCTAATGTTATTTTCCCATACAAATTGTGTTAAATTTTGCAAATTATTTTTTTATTGAACACAGCCATAGCTCAAATTATAAAATTTAAGACCTAAATGTTATACTCTCACTTCCAGAAACATTATTTTATTTTCTTCTTCTCTTCTTCCTCTTCCTCTTTTTTTGTTTTATTTTGTTTTGAGACAGGGTTTTTCCTGGAACTCACTCTGTAAACCAGGCTTGCCTCAAACTCTGAGATCCTTTTGCCTTTTTCTCCCAAGATCTGGGATTAAAGATTTATGTCACTACCACCTGGCTATTTTTTCTCTTTTTGCTTTGTTTCATTTTGTTTTGAGACAGTTTTTCCGGTGTAGCCCTGGCTGTCCTGGAACTTGTGTAGACCAGGCTGGCCTTGAATTCAGAGATTCTCCAGCCTCTGCCTCCATGCTGGGACTGAAAGGGGTGCGCCACCACCTCCCAGCTATTTCCTTATCTTTGGTAACGTAAAATATAGTCTAGGCCACTTGCTATTTAAAGTTTGATCTCTTATTATTGGGTAACTCATTGACTATTTCAAAATATTTTCCTTAAGAAAATTAATATTTGGCCTGGAAATAATGGCTCACAGATAGAGTGATTGCCTAACATGTATGTATAAGTTCAACTCCTAGCACGACAAAAGTTAAGGTATGGGGAGAGGAGGGTGGGGTCATGGAGACAGCTCAGGGGGTAAATGTGCTTGGTGCTAAGCCTGGCTGTGAGCCCCATCAAACTTGAGTTCAGTCGCTAGGACTCTTGTTGTGGAAGAGAGTACAGACTCCCACAGGCCTGTTCTCTGACTCCCAGGTTCACGTTGTGGAGAGTAAGTGAGAACGCACACAATTTAAAAAACGGCTTTGTTTTTATTTTTGTTTTTGTTTTTTTGTTTTTTTTTTTTGTTTGTTTGTTTGTTTGTTTTTGAGACAGGGTTTCCCTGTGTAGCACTGGCTGTCCCTGACTTGCTCTGTTGACCAGGCTGGCCTCCAACTCACAGCGATCTGCCTGCTTTTGCCGCCCGAGTGCTGGATCAAAGGTGTGCACCACCACCGCCGGGCAGTAAATGTAATTTTTCTTAAATTTAAAATTCACACTAAGTCTTGACATTGTTTTGGAAGTCTCTAAACGTGGTCTAGGAGTTGTCGGTGACTGTCATCCTAATTTGGTTTGTTGTAGGTTTTTTTATGACTTTCTCTGGAGAGACTGGGATGATGAAGAAAACTGTGAGAATTACACTGCCCTTATCGAGGAGAGAATTAATCTGTAAGTAGAGCTGCGAAGGCCCTGAGCCGCCTGGGGGAGAGGAGCGAGTGACACCGTGCTGTTTTCCAGGTGGTGCGACATACAGGACGGGACCATCCCCGGCCCCATCGCCCAGCGCTTCAAGAAGACGCTGGAGAAGTACAAGAGCAAGCGCGTCGAGCTGATCGAGTACCAGAGCAACATCAAAGAAGACCCGTCCGCGGCCGAGGCCGTGGAGTGCTGGAAGAAATACTACGAGATCGTGATGCTGTGCGGCCTGCTGAAAATGTGGGAAGACCTGCGCCTGCGGTGAGGGCTTGTCCCGCTGGAGGGGCGCGGAGGGGCGGAGCGCGTGGGAACTCCCGTGTGGTCCCATACATGGGCTCGATTTAAACAGCCGAGGAAGCTGGGCGCGCTGGTGCGCATCTGCAGCCCCCGCACGGGGAGCTGGAAGGAGGATCAGCAGCTAGGCGAGCCTGGGCTACGTGAGAGCCTGTCCAACACCACCACCACCGTAGTAATAATGACGATGCCTTGCTTATGAGTGAAGCGTAAGCTACCATAGGAATATTGGAAGGTTAGTTTGATACCAGCTACTTATCAGCAAGCGGAAAAGTGCTTCAGAGACCCCGACTCTAAGGAAGTGGCTGGTAAATGTGTGTGTGTTCAGGAAAGGAAGCGCCACCTTCGGCTGATAGCAGTGATGAAAGGCAGCGTTAGACGGGAGCTTTCCCCTCGTGGGGAAAGAGACAGGCCAATGATATAAAGACAATTCTGCCAGGAGGGCAACCGGCCATGGTTTTTAAGTCACAGCCTTACAAGCAAAAGCAACCTGCTCACTAATGATGCCTAAAATCAAGGGAACCGGAGGGACAGCACAGCAGTGAAGAGCGCTTGCTGCGCTGGCAGAGGACCGGGACTCAGTTCCCAGCACCCGTGTCCGCGGCTCACAACCTCCTGTAACTACAGCTCTGGGGGAGGAGGGAGGGGTGATGCCCAGTTCTGGTCTCTCACACACCTACACATAAAAACAAAATAAGCCTTTAAAAAGTTAAATACGGCAGCTGGGTGCGGTGGAGCAGCCTGTAATCCCAGCTCTCAGGGAGGCAAAGGCAGGCAGATCTCTGTGAGCTCCAGGCCAGCCTGATGCTCTACAAAGTGCGTCCAGGGCAGCCAAGGCTACATAGAGAAACCCTATCGCAAACAAACAAAAATTAAGTATGTCCCCGAAACTTTTTTATCCCTCCAGATCCCAGGACACAACTCACCTCTGCTTTACATAAGTCTACAGAGTAGATTATAAAATAAAATCAAGATTTCTTTCCTACTGTCAAAGTGACTAAAGCAATGGTTACGGTAGGCTGTAGATTTCTCCATTTTAAATAACAGTCCCCCCAAAAGAAAAGGATTTCAGGACGAGAGGGTTTACACATCAGTTATCTGAAGGATCTTGGTGGCCAGGTGTGGCAGTGCCTACCTTTACTCCCAGCACTCGGGAGGCAGAGGTGGGGTTAGGGGCAGGATTGGGGGTGGAATCTCTGTACGTTTTGGGCAAGGCTGGTCAACAGGTAGAGTTCCAGGCAGCCAGACCTACACGGTGAGACCTTGTTTCAAAACAAAAACTCCTGTTAAATTGCTCTCAAGCTGCTTGCTCGCCACTCTTAACAGGCTTGTGGTTAATAAGCCTTGGTAGCTTTCAAAGTGAACACAGGTTAGGTTTTTTTCCGTGTTAATTTACTCGCAAATATTTTCTACTGCAGAGTTCATGGACCCTTCTTTCCAAGGATTCTGCGGCGTAGAAAAGGGAAGAGAGATTTTGGGAAGACTATAACACACATCGTAGCGAAAGTGATGACCACTGACATGGTAAGAGGTGCTTCCTTCTTGTGAGTCCACTCAAGGGTGCGCTGCACAGCACCGCGGGAGAAGCTCTCGGATGCAGAGTTCTTGCCTGACGTGGGGATGATGCCTGGTCTCTTCCTTAAGCTGTCTCCGTGTTGGCAGTCAGATACTAAGTAAGCTCTCACAGCTCCTCCCAGCACCCCGGCCTTGTTGCCACTGAGTAAGAGATGTACCCCCAAGAGAGGCTGCGGTCAGGGGAGACAGAGCACAGACTCTCCGTACACTTCACAGATTTCAAGATAGAGAGATGGTCAAGTAAAGAGGCAGCGACAGCCACAACGCAGACTAGTAAATACTGCGGCAGGGTATGTACAGGGCTCATGTAGAATGGGCCAGATGTCAAAGGATTTGGAGAATGCTGGCTGGGAAAACGAAGCCAACTGAAACCTGGGTTAAATATCAAATGAAAGAACCCTGGGTGAATAGGTTTAGCCAGCCTCTGAACAAACGTTAATTGTTCTGAGACCGAAAGTAACTATTTCCACCCAACTTGATGCTTAATAGCATTTCATGGCTCCATCTTTGAACTGTTCTGCGTTGCCTTGTCTCAGCACTACCCTGCTTTTCATTGTCTCTAGATGCTTTTGCTCTCCTGCTGAGCTCTCAGGGCCCAGTGTCTCTCTTTTTCCTGAACTGTCTTGTCTCCATTTTTCAGGCTTTTGTTAGAATTTCACTTGTGTATCGTTGTATTAAATAAAAAAATAATGAGTGTTGGGCTATATAACGTTTATTATTAGCCCTAAGATTATTACGTTGGCATTATTTAACTCGGTATCACAATAAGACACAGACACCTGTTAGACTGGGAATTGCCTTATTTATCTTGGGCTGGCAGATGTTTCTCCTACACTGTCTCCAGATCCTCACCATCCATCTCCCAGCTCCATCCAATGCCATCCACCTTAATACTCTGCAGTTGGATTACCTTTCATCCATAACCCATGGTACTTGCTTTTATTCTTTATCTGGGCCCTTCCATGTCATCATTGGAGTCCTTTTCTCCAGTACCACGTGGTTCCTTCTCCAAGCTAACCCATCATGGCATCCTCCTTCCTCCTCTCTTCCCCTCTGTCTCCCATGATTCTCTCTTGAACCCAAAAGCCCGGGAAAGCCACGCCTACCTCATTCTGACCTGCCCAGGTATAGGCAGTTTTATTAGCCAACCAGGTAGGTTTACACAACAAGGACAGGTGTACCCAGATCTTGAAGGCTAGTAACATACATTAGACCAACCTCCAACAGTGTATGTTTCTTTTCTATTTCTTTTGTTTTTTTGAGACAGGATTTTTTCTGTGTGGACTTGGCTGTCCTGGACTTACTTTGTAGACAACCAGACTGGCCTTGAATGAACAGAGATCCACCTGCCTCTGCCTCCCAGAGTGTTGGGATTACAGGTGTGCACCACCGTGCCTGGTTCATTTGTGTATGTTTACAATCCGAAATATATATTCACAGGCCAGATATTTGTTCTAAGCCCCTCCTGCCCATTGCTCTTAAGTACTCCAACTCCCATCTGCAATTAAATTCAAGCTCTTATGCACTGGCTTGCTCATGTTCCGGAACTCTCTGTCCCAGGAAGTGACCCCAGCATTTATCTGGTTGCTAATTACAGCTTTTCAAGAGTTACTTTAATAGTCCCAGTCACCTTCATATACACTGTAGGATTGTACCCAGGCACATGCACACTTGTTTCTTTTCTTTAATGTAATGAGTAAATATCCATTATTCAGAATTTGGTTTAAATAACATTTCTACAGAAAAGGGCCTTCTGGGGTTGGATGTTGTGATGTTACCTGCAATCCAGTACCCAGGGGACAAGGTAAGAAGATCATGAAGTCAAGGGTAGCCTTGACCTCATACTGCGACCCTGTTGAAAGGGTTGTACCAAGTGGGGAAATTTTCCCACCTTGGAGAATATATTGCATTACTAAATTCATTTATAGCGCCCCATACTTTCCTTCTATTATAAGTGTAAAGGGATTTTCTGTGACCGTCTTTTTGGTTTTGTTATTTTTAAGACAGGGTCTTGCAGCCCAGGCTAGCCTAAAACTCAAAATCCTCTTGCTTCAGCCTCCTGAATGCTGGAATTCAGGCTCATGTCTGCTGCGTGTGGCTGTCTTTTGAATGCCATCTCAGTATAAATGTGTTGAACACCAGGCATGACCTTGGCATATTGTAGATGCTGGCTAACAGTTTTTGTTGAATCAATAAACTAGTGTAGGAAATATGGTACAGGTGAGAAAAATCAGAGAAATCCACCCAGGCCACACCTGAGAAGAGTGTGTGAGTAACAAGGCTGAGCTAAAGGCTCGTCTTGTCTGCTAGTGAATGTTTCTATTGTTTTCTCTTGTTTATTACATTTTATTTCTTTACTGTGTGGAGGAGGGGACATGTGTGTCACAGCGTGCCGTGGAGGTCAGAGGATATGCTGTGAGCGTCAGTTTTCTCCTTCCACCATGTGTTAAAGGTCCCAGGTATTAAACATAGGTCGCCATGGTTGGCAACAAGCACCTTACCACCGAGCCAACGTGGCAGCCCCTGTTTCTATTATTTGTAACAACATTTTCTATTTTTCATTTTCTGGCAATTGAGTATAATATAATATCTTCATACACAAGGATGTCTCCCTTCCAACGGTCACCTAGAGACCATTTCACCCACTGCTCTGTGGCTGCCAGCCTTTGTCACACCTCAGCAATGGTGTAGCACATTCCTCTTTCTCAGGGAAGAAAAACCCAGTTTGCTGCCTTTGCTGGTAACAAAAATGTTGGAAGGCTGTGGCAAAGCCATTGGCATTGGCATTTTTTCACATGGACTATGTAAGAAGAATCAGGATCTCTCTCGTGGTGTTTGGTGACCACCAATTCTTCCCAGTCTGGTTACCACTCACCCAGACCTTTCAGTGTTGTGCTCATTTTATAGCTACACAGTGTTATGTGGCCTGTCAGCACCACAGTTTGTTTACCCAATGATTCATTGGAATCATTGGGCTATATGGCTGATTCTATGTTTAAAATTATGGGGAATCGTCAGGGGGCCCAAGCCACTCTTAACCCTCGCCTGCAATGTAGAAAGGTTCCCGTTCTTTCAACCTTTACCATACCAGGTTTTTGTTGCTGTTTTGGTTTTGAGATAGTCTCATGTAGACCTGGCTGGGCTTGTGCTGATCCTCTTGCTTCCACCGCCAAATTACTGGGTCTTAAACGCAGGTGTCACCATGCCTGTCACCCACACTGGTTACCAGAGTCTCACCTATCACACTCACTGCAGCAAGCTGAAGTATCTACTGTGGTTTTGATCTTCATTTCCCAAACGAACCGTGATTCTGAGCCTATTTGCACCTGTTTGGTGACCATTTGTCTATCTTCTTTGGAGAAATGACTTTTCAAAGTGGGTTGCATGCTTCTTGTTGATTATGTGAGTTCCTTATATATTCTATATGCATCACAAATATTTTCTCTCTTTCCATAGGCTGTCTTTCACTATCGTGATATTGTTCACTGGTGCACTTAAGATTTTAATTTTGAAGAAGTACAACTTACCTTTTTGTTGTTGTTGTTGTTACTTCGTTTTGGGGTGTTACATCTAAAATCCATTTCCAAATTCAAGGTCATATACACTTTCTTGCTTTATTCTAGGAGTTTGATGGGTTTTATCACATTCATGTGTGTGCGCGCGCGCACACACACACACACACACACACACACACACACACACACACACAGTGTGTATGTCTATGTGTAGGTGCTTGCGCACCTGCAAATGGAAGCCAGAGGTCACACTGTCAGATATCTTCTTCATATCTTCTTCAGTAGTCTTCAACTGTTTTTTTTTTTCTTTTTCAGATAGAGCCTTACATAGTCCAGGCTGCTCTCAAACTCATCAACTTGTGGAGGATGACCCTGAGCTCCTGATCCTTGTTTCCTCTCTGGGATTGTGCTGGGATTGCAGGCATACGCCACAATGCCTGCTTATTGGTGCTGGAACTAAAGACAGAGCTTAATGCATGCTAAGAACCTAACGCACCATCTGAGCTGCACTCCCAGCCCTTCCCTTACTGTTAGAAGCAGGGTGTCTTACTGAAGTTGGAGTGCTCTGATTGGCTAGGCTGGCTGGCCAGCAAGCTCCAGGATCATCTTGTCTCCGCTGCTGCACTGTTGGCGTTGCTGCTTTGGTTTGAACACATTAGCGATAAACTCAGCATCACTAATAATGTTTCAGTGTTATATTTAGGAAAGGAAATTAGAAAGCACTTCCCCTTGGTATAATTTAACCAAGAGTGAGCCCATTTTTTCGGTCTGTTGTATGAGTCTCAGTCTACACCTTGCCTGAATCCTCTTTTTATGAATCTCTCTGTCCCTGTGTGTGTTCCCAGCAACAGGCTTTGCTTTCTCTCTTATTAAACAGCATAGAAAACGTCATGTGGTGGGAAGGAATGGGATCTATTACAGAAATCTCGAAGAAGGTTTTACAGGGTTAAGTCAGTCACTGATTTCATGTGACCCCAACTGGCCCAGATAGCAAAAACTATATTGTCTTCAACATTTAGGTGGATATTTATTTATAAAATTGCTTTCAAACTGTATTTGCTGTTTTCAGCAAATGATAATCTTACCACACATACAAACACACATGCATTATTCTGGGTCAGGGGCATAGAAGAGTACATAATTCAAGATTATAGCTATGCATTAGTTTAGGTTGTAAAAGCTGAAAGGCAAGACAAGTAAATTTGGTTGTTACATTGTTCTTTTTAAAGACAGGTTAAACAAACAGGCTGAGTATACACAGTGGGATTTCAGTCTAACTTGGTCAGTCTGGAAGCATGTAAGAGATAGTTTCATAATAATGTCTCATCACATGTAACAGATGCACACCACTGCACTTGGCTTTTTTTTTTTTTTTTTTTTTCTTTAACATGGTGGCTAGAGGACTGCATTCAGGTTCTTATGTGGGTGGCAAGGACTTTACTGGCTGAGTCAGTTCTCAGCCATAGCTCATTCATTCGTCCTAACATCATTTGTCAAAGAGACTAACTCTCCACCTTGAATTGTTCTGACATCCGTGTTGACTGTTAACTGGATGCTCTTTTTCTAGCTCGATGGTGTCCTCCTTGTCCCAGCACCACACTGTTTGATCACTGTGGCTTTGTAGTAAGTTTTGAGATCAGAAATGTATGTTCTCCATTATGCTCTTCTTTTTCAGTATTGTCTTCTTGCAGTGTCTTATCATCCTACATGCACTGGAAGATAAGCTCTTATATTTCTGCAGAGTCCCACAGAAGGGCTGAAGAAATGACTTAGTGAATTGCTTTCCTGGCAAGCATGAGGACCTGAGTTCTATCTGCAGAACCCATGTTAAAAATTAAAAAAGCTGCATACTGGGGTAGAGATAAGCCCACCATAGCAGGCATATATTTCTTGTATTTCTCATAAGGTTTGCTTATCTTAGGGACAAGAGAAATTTTTTATTTTAAAAATATCATTACTGCCAGGTGGTGGTGGTGCAAACCTTTAATCCCAGATCTCAGGAGGCAGAGGCAGGTGGATATCTGGTCTACAGAGTAAGTTCCAGGCAGCCAGGAAACCCTGTCAAAACAAAACAGAGGAAAAGCTATGTTGAGCATGGTGGCACTTGCTTATAACCTCAGTGCTGGGGCGATGGAGACAGGCACCTGAAGTTTGCTGGGCAGCCAGCCCAGCTCAGGACCCTGCTCACTCCTGGTCCTAGTGTTTGCCTAGGCATGATGGTATGTTTACTGCTCTAGTAAGTGGTGGGACCTAGAAGGATGAAGCTGATAAATGAGGTGACCAAGTCTCATGCCAACCTTATTCAGAGCCTCAAAATATTTTATACTCTAAGGGCTAAGAAAAGTCACAAGAGTAGAGTGTAAGGACAAGCTGAATGTGAAAGAAACATGGTTTTTCCAGAGAGGAATATAAACAAATAACAATAGGCAATTATAATGGATAATCTGAAGTAAACTCACTCCTAACCTCTCTACCTGAGCAGGGACATGAAAGTACATTCCATAAACAATTCCCTGTTTTCTTGGAGTTTTCTCATAAGCACTCAGAATTCTCACTGGACGCCATTCTTGGACTGCATTCCAACAGTGGCACATGCCTTTAATCCCAGCACTCAGGAAACAAAACAGGAGGTTCTCTGTGAGTTCAAGGCCAGGCTAGTCTACCTAGCAAGTTTCAGGTCAGCTAGGACTACACAGTGAGATGCTATTTCAATAAATTAATAAACAAATGGATAAATAAATGCCATTGCTTTTCATTACAATTAATGAAGTTCCTCTCTATCCCTAATGCAAATCTTTAGTACTTTTTGTATATAACTCCAGAATCTTCAGTATGTGAAATTGTGTGAATACCCCACAATTGGAAGATCATTCGGAGCTAATAAAAGCAAGGCAGGGCTGGTTCAGTAGGTGAGGGGGCTGATAACGTGAGTTTGCTTCCCAGAACACGCATGATGGATGGAAAACAAAACAGCAGCCATGACTTGTCCTTCACACAGTGGAGCGTGCACACACACATACAGTCAACTAAATAAGTGTTAAAAAACAAAACAGAACCAGGCGGGATCTCAAGTTCCAGGATAGCCTGGGCTACTTGGGGAGACTTGATTTAAAGAGAAGGAAGAAGAAGAGAAGAGGTAGAAAAGAACAGGCAGGAGGGGAATATGAGGAGAAGGGGGAGAAAGAGGAGGTGGTGACAGCAATAGCAGAAGGTAGTTGGTACATGAGAGTGAGTGCAAGGGCCAGTGTCACTTGCCCTGCATTTAAGACTTGACCTCAGCCCTCCTCTCCGACCTTAAGCTATTCATTTAATCTCACTGCTTAAGGTAATACAAAGCATTCAAAACGGCTTCTGGCCTGTAATCCATACCCAGCACTTGATAGAGGAATAATGGCCACCAGGTGAAAGCATACTATATAGGTAAGTCTTTTGGAGAAGATGACGTGTCCAGGAAGCGTATTTAGTGGCATGCTGTTGAAGGTGCACTGCTTTCTTTATCTTTCCAGGTAAAGAACTTGTCTTCAGACACACTTCTCCAGCAGCACGATGATTTGAATCTGGCTTTGGACAGCTGCTATAGTGGAGATATAGTAGTCATTTTCCCGGGAGAATACCAAGCTGCAAATCTTGCTTTGCTGACTGATGACATCACTATAAAGGGTTAGCAGGCAGTCCTTTGCAGGTTTTCTTAGAGCAACATAGACTGGCCGAACTGTGTACTAGTAAGCATATTTAATCAAACAACCAGAAACCAGGACAACTTATCCTTTTACAGTAAAAACCATGTTGCTTATGCTGGTCTCAATCTTTTGGGCCCAGGTGAGCTCTCCCTGAATCAGCCTGGTGAGTGGCAGGAGCTACACAGTGAACCATGATGCCCAGTGGCCCATCATATCTTCTCAAATCTTTGTAGTTCTTGGAACGGAACGAAGGGCCTTGCCCCTGATTAGGCGAGGACTCCACCATTGAGTTATAGCCCCAGCAATATTCATCATACTTTTTGTACTTCTGTGTATATTTCGATCAAAATATTTGTGTCCTGTTAACTTTGAAAGAAGAGTATTCCAATTGTGGTAAAAAGAAAATAATAGTGAACTTACATTCTACATATGTGTTTTGAAAATTCAAGCAAATCTTCACTCTAAAAAGTATTATACCAAACACTCTGGATAATAAGGATTATATAAGCACCTTAAAACAGATATAACCTTCTTGATGCTAATTTTGGACAACTACTTTGGTTAAATTATTGGTATGATTAATCTAAGATTCTCTACCAGGTGTGTGTGTTGCATAGAGGTCAGAGGACAAGTTTGAAAGCAGGTTTTCTCTTTCCACCATGTGAGTCCTAGGACTAGAACTGAGAACACCAGGCTTGACAGCAAGTCATTGCTATGGTAATTAATTATGGTTTTGAAAGCAAGTTCAGATGTGCTTTTTTTTTTTGTCTTAGATATCTATACACTATTGTTGATTATAGGAGAATATGTGAGATTTAGAAATTGGGTATGGCGCCTCATGCCTGTAATCCCAATACTAAGAGGCTGGGGCATGAGTTTAAAGCTAGCCTGTCTCCACAGTGAGTTCTCCAGTAGCCAGCCTGGGCTAAGAGTGAGGCTTTTGTTGTTGTTATTTTATTATCATTATTAGAAATAATTAGTGGAATGAGAATGTTGGATAAGCACTGTAAGTGTATAGTTAGATCTATTATAAACAAAGATTTCAACATTAAGTAATCAATGTATTATTACCAAAGATCATTTCATAGGTGTGGGTGGGGAGATGGCTCAGCGGGTGAAGGGCTTTCTGTGTGAGCATGAGCATCTTGAGGCTCCCGTGTGCCACATGATTGCGAGGGGCAGGGGGGTCCATCTGTAACCCAGAGCTAGGCAAGTGGAGACAGATAAGATGCTGGGACTTACTTGGCCAGTTAGTCTGCCTGAACCAGTGAACTCCGTGTGTACCAAGAGGCAGAAAGTAATGGAGGAAGATGCTTGATCTGCCTCTGGCCTCCACGTGAACAGGTGAGCACGGCTGCTGGGCACACAAGATTGCGGTATAGATCGCCACTTGTCAATAGTGAATGTCTGCACATACATACGATGAAACCAAACAGACACAGCGAACATTACTGAATGACTAAAGGACTTTCAAACCTTGGATTACTAAATTTTTTTTTTTTTTTGTCTCTATGCATCAGGTGTTGGAAAGAGAGAAGAAATTATGATTACTTCTGAGCCTTCGCATGACAGTTTTGTGGTATCCAAAGCTGATAATGTGAAGCTAATGCAGCTCTCTTTGATACAACAAGGAACAGTTGATGGTATTGTAGTGGTCGAGTCTGGTCACTTGACTCTAGAAAACTGCTTGTTAAAGTGTGAAGGAACAGGAGTGTGCGTTCTTACAGGGGCGTCACTGACAATCACAGACAGTGAAATAACGGGTGCCCAGGTACTCCCTTCTATAAATAGTATAGCCTTATATAAGTACAGTTTGGAGTGATCTTAACTTAAAAACAAAAGTTAACAATCGTGAACATGTTCGGAAGTGTGAGTGTGGGTATGCACATCTCATGGAACATGTGAGGTCAGGGACAACTTGGATATGAGTCCCTTGCCTTCTACCTTGTTTGAAACAGGGTATCTGTAATTAAAACTGTTTTATTATTTGTATGTGTGCGTGCGTGCATGTGTTCACGCAAGAGCTGTGTGTGCTCTGTGTGCAAGTACAGGCATAAATCAGTTTTTGGTAGTGGGTTCTCCCCTTCTACCACAAACTATGGGTAGTGCTGTTCACTGCTGCTGCTGCACCCACCAGGCTAGCTGCCCTGTGAGCTAAAGCTTGTGGGCCATGTCCTCAACTTGTGGGTCATGACCCCACAGGGGTCACAGATCAGATATGTATGATTCATAGCAGTAGCAAATTAGTTATGAAGTAGCAGCAAACTAGTTTTATGGTTGGGGTCACCACAACAAGAGGAACTATGTTAAAGCGTGGCGGCATTAGGAAAGCTGAGAACCACTGCTCTAGGGCTATGTGCCTCCAGTATCACCTTCAGTATCACCATAAGAAGCGCCGGGGCTGCTACAGACAGTGTGTTTTCATGCCTGGCTTTTCCATGGGTTCCTAGGGTTTGGATTCAGGTTCTCACACTTACACAAGGACTTCACCCAAAAGACTGTTTCTTATCTTTCCACAGAATTAAATAACTCAGCTTAGAAAATGGGAGACATAGGGCTAGAGAGAGATGCCTGATGGTTAAGGGAGTGCACTGCTCTCGCAGAGGACCTGAGTTCAGTTCCTCTGCAGAACCTACTTCAGGGAGCTTACAACCACCTGTACCTCCAGCTCCAGGTGATCTGACACCCTCTGTGTTCTGTTAGCACCTGCATTAGCATAAACATGTACCTTACACACATAAACAAGCATGCATAATTAAAGATAATCTTTTCTTAAGAAGTGGGAGATATGGGGCTGGAGATATGGCTCGGTGGTTAAGAGTACTGGCTACTCTTCCAAAGGATGTGGATTCAATTCCCAGCACCCACATGACAGCTCACAACTGTCTGCAACTCCAGTTTCAGAGCTTCTGAGACCCTCACACAGACACACATGTAGGCAAAACACCAATGAATATAAAATAAAAATAAACTTAAAAAAAGTGGGAGATATGCCAGGCATGGTGTATACACTTATAATTCCTGCTCCAAGGGGGTGGGATCTTTCAGTAACTTGTGTTGTTTGCTCTGAATTTCAGGGTGCTGGTGTTGAACTATATCCTGGAAGCATAGCCATTTTGGAAGGGAATAAGATTCATCATTGTAATAATCTCAGAACCAGTGACAGTTCAAAAAGCACCTTAGGTGGCGTTAACATGAAGGTATTGTCTTAGTACTGTTTGTTTTGAGACAGTATCTCACTGCTTAGCCTTATCTCACTGGATGGCCTGGAATTCTATGTAAACCAGATTGGCCTCAAGCTCACACATCCCTACCTGCCTCTGCTTCCTGAGTGCTGGGGTTAAGGGCATGTGCTAAATGCTTGTCTTAGTTCTCATTAGAGAAGTGTTCTAAGAGTTTTAGATAGGTCAGGTCTGCTTCTTTTCCTGTTGCTGTGATAAAATACTGACAAAAGCAACTCAAGAGAGATGCTCACAGTCCAAGGACACAGTTCATCATTGCAGGGTCAAAGCAGCAGGAACCTAAGGTGGCTGGACACAGTGCACCCACCATAACAAGAGCTCTGTTCAGCGTGATTTCTCCTTTTTTGAAGTCTAGGACCTAACCCCAGGGAATGATGCCACCTTTTAGGATGTGTGTTCTTGCCTCAATTAACCTATCAGTATAATCCCTCATCGGCATAGCCAGAGGCTAAGTAACCCGCCATAGGTGTGCCTGGAGACCTGGCAATTCTGTCCAGTTAAAAATACTGCCACAGTATTAAAATAGCAACAATCCTTTTTAATCATACACATAATAAAATATAGTAAATGGTAGCTGATGGCAAGCAAGCCTATCCTTGCACATTGACCCCACCCCACCCCCAAAAGTGTCAGTTGAACTCAGGCTGCTATGCATATGAGCCAGCACTGGCATGGAGTAAGTGCCCACTGTGCAAAGCTGGCCCTGACTGGCCTGGGATTCTTTTGTCTTTCAAGACAGGGTTTCTCTGTGTAGCCTTGGCTGTCTAAGAACTCAATCTGTAGAACAGGCTGGTCTTGAAGTCAGACATCCACCTGCCTCTGCTTCCCGAGTGCTGCACCACCACTGCCCATCTTGGCCTGGGATTCTATAGCCTAGTTGGGCCTTAAATTAATCCTCCTGCATATCAGCCTTCTAAGAAATTGGGGTCACAGGCCACGAGGCCCACATAAAGAAAGTTTGAATATGAGAAAGTAAGTGGACTTTGCTCTTATACAATAGCTTTTTCATTGACCAGATGTAATGCATTTTTGGAAAGTAAAGCAAAATTGTGGGCAGGCTTGTAATCCTAGCATTTAGGAGGCAAGAAGGTTAGAAGTTGAAGATCATCTTTAGCTACACAGTGAAGGCAACCTGACCTGGGGTATATATGAGATTCTGTCTCAACTTCTCCCATCACAAAGCACCAAGTTAAGAGAATAATGTTAAATATTTTTGGGGTGCAATGTAGTTGTGCATGCTCATAACCTCAATACTCAAAAAGCTGAGAGACAAGACTGGTGTGAATTCCAGGCCTGCCTGAGTAATATAATAGCAGGCCAGCCAGAGGTTTATAATGAGTCCCAGGTCTTGGAAATAAGGAAGGGGAGAGAAGAGAAAGAAGGGGCAGAGGAAGGAAAGAAAAAAAGAGGAAAGGAATAAAGGCCACTCTTGGCCTGGTGTGGTGGCACACACCTTTAATCCCATTACTCTGGGGGCCAGCCTGGTCTACTAGTGAGTTCCAGATCAGTCAAGGCTACACAGACGCTTTGTCAAGAAAAAAGTGTATTTTTGGTTTTCAGATGATACGGAGGCTCAACCTGCACCAACAGACCACCTGTGGTACCAATGCCTCAGCAGGGTTTTCAACATTGAGTCAAATAATTGTGATAAGGGAAAAAGAGGTACATGGGAGCACTGTAAGGTCACTTTTGAAACTTTTTTTTTTCTGTTCTTAAATATTTTTCAGTTGTTCAAAAATGTTGGCTTGCACCAGGACCTCTCTTAACCACTCTTGAGGAGTTACAACCTAGTTTACCAATTCAATAGGTCTGGAATGAAGCCTGAGAATTTGTTCTTGTCAGTTTCCAAAGCTGAAATTTCTGGTCACTCACTAAGACATAACCCCACTGATCAGTGACCACACTGACACTACCTGGCGGTGGGTGGAACTGCAGCATCCTGAACACTGTGATCGGAGACAAGAAAGCAGAGGAAGGAGGATTGGAAAGCACATAGCAAACAAAAACAAACCCATGAAGATCCTTGAGCCTTACTCCACAGTGCTCTGTATTAAACTAGACCCTTTCACCAGAAACACATTTCTCTGTATATGCAAGCAAAGGATGAATACTCCATTATCACTGTTCTTCAAAGTGGTTACTGTGAAGAGCATTAGTTACGCGGCAGCCTGTCTGTATCAAGTCCTGCTAGGTTTCACTGACCCATTGTATTTTGTCCATATTATCTGAAATCATTTTCATGTTTGATCATGTTGCAGATGTTAACTGACTGCATCCCTTATCTAGAATGATTTTTATCGGTTTAGGACAAAAAAACAAAACAAAAAAAAAACAACAAATTTCTCATTCACATTTCTAAGCAAGGTTGACGAATGTGAGGAATATACATTTTTTGAAGCTCATAGCTTTAAAGAACCGTGACAACTCCAGAGTAGGTGTCAGTGCCGTGTTAGTGCTTGTTGTCCTTGTATCAAATCACTGAACAGCTGACTTCCTCAATTTTACAGGTTCTTCCAGCACCCAAACTGAAGATGACTAACAATCATATCTACAGCAACAATGGCTATGGAGTGAGCATTCTTCAGCCATCGGAACAGTTCTTTATTGTAGCAGAAGCAGCTCTTAACAAAGCGGCTGCTTCAGGTGATAAGAAAGATGACAAAATGCTCTCCAAAGTCATGCAAACTCTCAATGTGGAAATGAACAACAATAGGATAGAGGCAAACTTAAAGGGGGACATAAGGATAGTCACCGGCTAACGCATCTGGATAGGTGTTCATATTTTGTAGTTCAGGAATGTTAAGGATTCTTGTTATCACATACATTGTAGTTTTAAAGATTAAAATATTTAAATGCTTTCACTGAATTACTCATTTTAATGTATTATTTAACATACTAGCTTTATTAAAAGATATGAGTCATATGTCAGAATTTAGCTAAAAGTGTAGCCGAAGGGCTGGGCCATGTTGCTCAACAGTAAAGTGCTGATTTAGCATTCGTAAACAAAGCTCTGAGCCCCATCACCAGCTGCACCACCTAAGGTGTGCGCTCTGCTGAGGAGCTGGAAGCAGGACAATCAGGAATTTCAAGGTCAGCCAGAGCTACAAGGGAGTTAAAGGCCAGCCTGAGCCATTTTTTGCTAGACCACGTTAGCCTGGATAATTTAGACCGCTCTCCCCATCTCAGGGACCTTAATGTACATCACGTAAGCAAATTTTAAGTATATACTGAGAGTCCCTGAGGACTAGAACTATTAACATTGACTACTTTCCCTACAACCTATTTCAAACTGAATGGACTAACAGATCCTGAGGACTAGGACCATTTAACATCTTAACAGCCTATTTTCTCAGCCAAAGGAATCTAAATTCAGTGAGATGTTCCTCAATAAGGATCAATACACAGCTCCTTATCCTTGTATTTACCAGGGACGGAACTCTTAAGCCTTACACATGACTAAGCACACATTCTACAATTTTGCCACATACTGCCTGTGCTGGCTATTGTTTTAACTTGACCTCCAAGAGAAAACCTCAAGTGAATTTTGTTCTGGGTTTGTTTTGAAAAACAGGCCTCTCTTTGTAGACCCACATGCCTCTGCCTCAAGAGCACTGGGATTAAAGACTTGTGGTACCAGGCCTGGCTGAGGAAATTTTGATTGGTGATCGTGTATATAGAAGGGCCCAGGTCATTGTGGGTTGTGCCATTCCCAGGCAGGTGGCTCTGGATGGTATAGCAAAGCAAGCCAGTCAGCTTTCCTTCTTGGCTTCTGCTTCAGTCCATGCCCAGACTTTTAACCCTTTCCACCCCAAGCTACTTTTGGCCAGTTTCCACAGCAACAGAAATCCCAAGGCACATTGCGCCTCCTCCAAGTATATACTTTAAGACTCTAATTTGGTCACAGACATCTAAGACATCCAGTAAATGACATAATTAAAGGCATAAAGAACCCAACCTTGCACGTTCCTGTCTTCTGGACAGTAATTTAAACCTAGAACCTAAATTCAGAGGAATTCAGAAACAATTAGCTCTAATCCAATTGTAAGCTCCACTTCTGGTATTCATAGTTTTCTGTGACTGCTTCATATAATGGGTATGGAGAGGAAAGCATGTTAAGTGCAGTGAGGTAATTTACTACGCAAACTGCCTAATCTAACTGGTACTTACACTTCCATCTCTTAGGAATAAAGATCACTGTTTTCAGACTTGTGGGCATATAACTAAGTTCAGAGTGGTACTCTGTTCCCACTCTTAGTTCCCAATCTATATAGGTTTACAGTACAATACTGGAAAAAAAATAGAACTATGCTCACAGGTTCTGCGAAACTTCAGGCAACCCTCAGGGGCACTATATACAACTCGGCTTCTCATTTATAACCAAGTCAAAGAAATCTTATCCTAAAAGGGTTCAACTACAGGACTCTCTACTTCTTTACAGCAGTTTTCACAAGCACCATGATGTGTAAATATTCAGTATAGCTAGTACAACTTGAGTTTAGAGAGGGTAGAGGAGTTTTTTATTCTCTAAGCAAAAGGAGGCATTAGGTGCACCATGGAGAATGTACTGGTTGCAAGATTAAGATGTTTTGTAAGAAAGCTAAGACCAGCCAGCATATAGGAAGTTGGATTTCTAAGAGAGCACAAGATGGGAAGATCTGACTAGATTTAACATGTAATTAAACAGCTAAACCCTACACAAAATGACAAGTTTAACAGACAGGAGCATCTAACAGCATGTTATAACGAACGCATTATTCCTTATGTTGTAATGGGAATGTAGCTCACTGGAAAAACAAGCCTAGCACCCACAAAATTTAAACATGTATGCAGATGTTGAAAAAGAGTACCCAATGAAGAATCTATTCAAGATAGTGGATAGCATGGGTAGTCCAGGGTTAATTTCCAGTATTCCTTGTTCCCAAAAAACTCAAGTAATTTACTGTAAAATTTAAGTTATCAAAGCACCTCTAACTTCACATCTATTGAAATACATGTTGATGGGAAAGAATCCGCCAAGTACTTCACAGCCATTTTCAGTTTAATGCTTTATTTTGTATTAAATGAAAACCAAGAAAATGTAAAGTTAAAAGGTAAACCTTTACCCCTTTAAAGAAAAAAAAAATACAAACTGTACGGTGTGATACTTGTATAATAGGTCATATTTTACATTACATAATATAAACAAAATCACTAGTCTACATTCCTCGTTGCTTGAAACTACAATGAACCACAGATTAAGCGGGAAATGGGCTTTTTGGTGCAAATAAACATCTTGGAAAAACATAGCATGCATTTTTAAACGGTCTATGCATAGGCTATGACAGAGTCTGGTCTTAATAGCCACCGCCACCCCCTCCTCCTCTTCCCTGTCCAAAATAACCACCTCCATAGCCACCCCTTCGCTGGAATCCTCCAGATCCTCTATAGCCGCCACCAGATCCCCGGTAGTCTCCACTAGATCCTCTGTAGTCGCCACCAAAATTGTTTCTGTAGCCTCCTTGGGAACCTCCTCTGTAGCCGCCCCCACCACCTCCATAATTTCCACGGTAAGAGTTGGGGCTAATACTATAACCTTCCCCACCACCATAGCCGCCTCCACCACCTCCATAGCCACAACTGCCTCCTCCATAACCACCACTACCACCACCTCCATAACCACCACCTCCTCCCCCATAGCCTCCCCCACCACTTCCAAAGCCTCCACTACCTCCAAAACCCCCACCTCTGCCACCACCAAAACCACCACCTCCTCCCCCACCACTGAATCCTCCACCACCACCAAAACCACCTCCACCACTTCCAAAGCCTCCCCCACCACTACCAAAGCCTCCCCCACCACTTCCAAAGCCGCCTCCAAAACCTCCTCCTCCATAGCCGCCGCCACCACCACCATATCCTCCACCGCCATATCCTCCTCCTCCATAACCCCTTCTATATCCGCTTCCATTATCATATCGGGCCATCTTGGGAGGACGTGGACCATCACCATACCTAGGAACAGGGGGGGGAAAATCACTTTAGTCGTGTGTGGAGATTAAACTCAGAATTCTACACATACTAAATTAAGAACCCCAGTCCTGTGTGAAACAAGCAACACTTTTAATACTTCTCCATAGACCTCACATAAACAGCCGTATTAAAACATGCAATGCATGAAACTGCTCTGGTTCATGGTATTTGTTATCAAGTATTACTGTGCGCCAACTTTAAAAAAGGTCTTTGGTGGGGGCTGGGGAGACAGCTCAGAGGTTAAGAGCACTGGTTGTTCTTTCTGAGGGCCTTGAGTTCAATTCCCAGCAACCACTCGACGGCTCACAACCATTTACAATGAGATCTGGTGACCCTTCAGGTGTACCGGTGTACATGCAGGCAGAATACTGTGTAAATAATAAACCTTAAAATTCCTTACAATACTGAAAACTAGTAAACACAGACAAGGAAGATAAGTAACCACTGTAACATTCATTTGGTATAAATGGGGAGCAATTAAGCAAATAAAATTTCTTAAGGACAGCCTAAAACGAACCCCAGGCTTTCTACTTGAGAAGCCAACACAGTATTGTGAAAAGGATCTCATCTACATTACATTTTCTGACCCAGTGACTTTCCATACATTCTCTACTTAGGGACTTATTTCTAATGTGGAACTGCTGTGTATAGATTAACAGACATTAAGGAAATAAGCATTTTGTTCTGAGTTCAACTAAATTCCATATTTAATGTTTAGAATCTTTAGTAGTAAAGACTAGATTTAATAGACACACGAATTTAATTACGTATTCACCTTACACTCCCAATCATAAGGTTGATACCAGAAGCTGAGGGCCTAGAAATCTGACGGATTGTGTTCAGCATATGTTCATTTACAGGGTCCAACTGGCTGATGATATTTGGTTGTTTGGACACTTCAACAACCAGAGCTTCCATGGCTGCTCGGAGGGCTGTGATACAAGCTGCAGCTTCGTGCGATATTTGAAGTCTAATCCTAAAATGAAAGGAAATAAGACATATACTCGGAGCATACACAGAAAGATGGATGACTATTTGTCAGATTGCTGTCCCATGTGTTGAGTGAGGCATAAATGTAACCGCTTATTTTATTAGACTCAGACATGATCCAAACTAGGTGAATTAGAGTATGAACAGTAATAGTCAACATTACCCTTAATAAAACATCTAAAAAATTCTAGTAGTTTGATAAACCATACTACCAAAATCTCAAAGGAAATGTATTATAAAAGTAACTTTCTTTCACTCAACCATAAAATCCTGCCTTTTATTTTTCAAAGTTTAAGAGTTTAAAGATTAGAGCTAAATTCTAAGAAATCTCTATTCTAAAAAGTTTCAAGTTCACAATTGAAAGGCTGCCCATACCAGTCATCTATAAATATAATCTGCCCATCAGACTGGACTTTCTTGGAGGCGAAGAGAAGCAACTGTAAGGGGGTGACTAAGGTCATGCCTTTCGCTGAGATGGCTCGGGTTCGAATCTGCAGATAGAGAAAATGAAAAGTCACACACTGATAATTGGCTATGTCAAAACTTTGATCTTTCAGACTTCCCTCATCTTCTTACCTTTTCACCAAAAACAAAGAAAGGAGATGGGTACTTCATGTCTTGGCTGCTAAAAGGACAGTTTACAGATGACTTGTGGATAAGTGCATTACGTCCTTCAGTGGTAAGAATCTTTCTCTTTTCTTTATGGTAGCATACATTGGGGTAGACACCAAAGGCCAGCAGAGAGATAACAACATCCAAATTATTATCTGGTCC